TACTGAGCCCTGGGGAACACCACTTGTGACCAGCCACCAACGTGATTTAACACCATTCACCACAACTCTTTGGGCCCAGTCATACAGCCAGTTTTTTACTCAGCAAAGAGTACGCCTGTCCAAGCCATGAGCATCCAGTCTCTCCAGGAGGATGCTGTGAGAGACCGTGTCAAAGGCTTTACTAAAGTCTAGGCAGACAACATCCACAGCCTTTCCCTCATCCACTAAGCAGGTCACCTTGTCATAGGAGGAGATCAGGTTAGTCAAGCAGGACCTGCCTTTCATAAACCCATGCCAGTGGGGCCTGATCACATGGTTGTCCCATACGTTCCATGTGACAGCACTCAAAATTGTCTGCTCCATAACCTTCCCTGGCACCAAGGTCAGACTGACAGGCCTGTAGTTTCCCAGACCCTCCTTCTGGCCCTTCTTGTAGAGGGGCATCACACTCGCCAACCTCCCCAGTTAGCCAGGACTCCTGATAAAGGACGGAAAGTGGCTCAGTGAGTGCTTCTGCCACCTCCCCCAGTAAGCTTGGGTGGATTCCATCCAGCCACATAGACTTGTGTGTGTCTACATGGTGTAGCAAGTCACTAACCATTTCCCCTTGGAAGATGGGGGCTTCATTCTGCTCCCTGTCTCCCAGCTCAGGGGGCTGGGTACCCAGAGAACAACTGGTTTTACTATTAAAGACTGAGGCAAAGAAGGCATTAAGTACCTCAGCCTTTTCCTCATCCTTTGTCACTGTGTTTCCCCTTGCTTCCAATAAAGGATGGAGATACTCCTTAGCCCTCCTGTTGTTGCTGATTTATTTATAGAAACATTTTTTGTTGTCTTTTACAACAGCAGCCAGATGAAGTTCTAGTTGGGCTTTGGTCCTTCTAATTTTCTCCCTGCATAACCTCAAGGCATCCTTGTAGTCCTCCTGAGTTGCCTGCCCCTTCTTCCAAAGGTCATAAACTCTCCTTTTTTTCCTGAGCTCCAGCCAAAGCTCCCTGTCCAGCCAGGCTGGTCTTCTTCCCCACTGGCTTGTCTTTCAGCACATGGGGATGGTCTGCTCCTGTGCCTTTAAAATTTCATTCTTGAAGAATGTCCAGTCTTCCTGGACTCCCAGGACTGCCTCCCAAGGGACTCTGTCAACCAGGCTCCTAAGCAGTCCAAAGTCTGCCCTCCAGAAGTCCAAGGTGGCAGTTCTGCTGACCCCTGTCCTTACTTCTCAAAGAATCAAAAACTCTATCATTTTGTGATTTCTATGCCGAAGATGGCCTCCAACCATCACATCACCCACAAGTCCTTCTCTGTTTGCGAACAATTCCATTACATACAGACTGAAATCTGTTGTGTGTTTATAGTTAGTATTGTATTCTTTGCTTTTGTTCATGTTTTTTAGTCACTGTCACTACTACAGACTTGTTCCAAATACTGAAAAAGTTGCTAGGTTGGAAACAACCTATGGGGTGCAAGACTCACACCTCTCATGATCCAACAGTTCTGCTGAGCTGTGGAAAAAAAAAAAAAGTGCCTTTTTGCCTGGAGGAAGGGCAGGTCTTCCATAAAAACTCAGTTAATAGTTTTTAAAAAACCACAACCAAAACCCAAAAAGCTCTGAAGGCTATTAACCATTTTAGGAGAACCATCTTAAATCTGGATGAAAACTACTTGCATGTATCTGAAGAGTGCTCCTGTGAACTACCACTCTGCTCTGAGTTTCTGGACTTCTTCATCAAAAAAGACATCCAGCTGAGCAGCTTTCTCATCTTTCTCCAAAACAGAGATAGAAGTTTCTTTCCTCTGGTGTCTTTGAAAGCAAGACACATACATCATTATAATAGACCTGTTTCAAGCTTCAGGGGTATTCTGTGGCCTAGGCTCGAGTCTCTTTGGTACAAAACTGTGAAATCACAGCAGTAGTTCCATTTGGTCCAGTATCTGTTTTCCAGTACTTTTCTCACCATGTCATCATGTGTAGGAATAATGACTTCAGTACTGCATATTTTAACTCCTGGACAGAGTGAATGAAAAGATGCCCTAGCATTTTAGAAGTTGCAATGCTATTAGAGAGGTGAGTTCCTTTTTGTCTGCCTTCTCCATCTTTAAACAGTAAGTGGTCCTCTTCTGCTCTTCCTCTTAGCTCCTTCTCCATAGGTATCTATGCAGACTTTACACTCCAGTGGCACTCTACAGCAGTGACTAGGTCCTGCAGCAGCCTTGTTGCATTACAAAGTCACCTTTCCCAAAGACGCAGAGTTCAAATTGATGCCATATAAGCAGGATAAAAACTCTTCTGTGTCCCTTCCGTACTTCCCTTCTCTCACAGCAGCCCTTGCTATGTTTTTCATTAGACTCCTTCAGCTAAAAAAAGTCCAAATACAAGCTGAGCTGAAGGAGGTTCATTGAGAAGAACTTTTTAACATCCTTCTTCAACCTAGTCATTCACTCTTTTGCAGAGCTCCAGCCCACAGACTGCTGTCCTTCGATATTTCCCCCTCTTTTTCCAGCTATTTTATACTGTATCTTAAATTCCCCTTAAGGTTGTTGTGTTCCTTTTCCAGTATGGCTAAAAAGGCTTTCATTAATCTTGTTAAGGTCAATGCAGTTTATTCCTGTCTATGCTGTTATGGAAGGACTGGGATGAGTCTTCCTGTAAGGGGAAACAGGTCATTTGCCTCTCAAAGAAGATGGCCTCTTAGTATCCTGCCAAGGCTGCCTGAAATGTATCCATGCTGCTGCTTGGGTCACTGTGGCAGGAATCATCATCTAGTGATTCCCCCAACAGCAGGCTTTAGATACCCAAGTTGTCTCGAGCAAGGTTAAGGCTTCCCCTTGAGGACTGCCCCCATCCCCACCTCTTTGATGTAATGTGGCTAGGGTTGTTTTAAACTTTTAGTGTTGAAGACCCAGATTTAAAGCAAGAAAGCAAGCTGGGCCTCCGGTCTTGTTCAGGCAGAATCATCTTGTCCCGCATTGCTGGATCACAGAGGATGCTGGAATTGCTAAGGAAGAATGAGAAACCCTAGCGCAGTTAACTCTGTCATTCACCCATTTCTTATTTATAACATCTTTCTTCTGGCATGTGCTTTGATGTCTGAGTTTCTTCCACAGATTTTCAGCAACAGGGAAAACATTCTCTCCTTACACTGTCTTTGTGTGTGGAACCATTTTGTTTGCTGCTAGAAGATTTTCATCAGTGGACCACAGTTTGTCAGCAAAGGAATTGCATACTCTTCTTTCCTGCCCTTCTTCCCACCTTTCCTTTGGGATGCTTATGCAAGACTTACAGGCTGGCTTTTTCTCAGAAAGTTGCAGCAATGTGGGGTGTAACTTTAAGGTTTAGAGGCAAGTTCTGAGCCCAGGGAATGAGAGAGATATGACACACTACCATGGGCTGTCATTGCTGCAGGGTCAGGACGCTTATTCTGTCTTCTGTCATCACCAGATGCTCAGATAGCTCTGTGATTCCTGCCCCTTTTTTTTCCATTGCTCTGTTCATCCAATGCAGAGTGGATACTTCCAACGGTCCTAATACAGGGAAATTTACTGATAACACCGGATTTTGCCCTTTGTCTACGTACAGTGCTGGGTGTTTTCACAAAATTCCTGGCTATTGTATCATTTTGAGATAGCAAGGCATCATGATCTGCTGACAGTCTCACAGGAAGAGACTGCTGTAGGAGGACAGTACCTCACTCCGCAAAGACAAAAAATTCTTTACTGACTCCGAGCATGAAATGAGAAAAACCTCAATTTTTGTCTGAAGGCCAGAGATCACTAGAAATGCATTTAAATTCAGCCATCAGTACATTCATCCTGGAATGTTAGCAAGAGCGTGTCTTGTGCGTATGAGTCACGCGGCTTCCTGAGCCTACAGGACATGGTTTGCCAGACTTCTGTTATGTTTGACACAAGAGTGTTCTGAGATCACAATGAAGCAAAGTTCTCATAGATAGAAAATTCATAGCCCCACAAAAAGTCCTCTTTTTGTTGACCTGAGGGTGAATGTTCTCACCAGTTTTCAGATGAGTTCCCTTCCTCCCCATGCTTCTGCTAATGAAAACCCCAGTAAGAGACACTCCTGCTCAAAGACAGGGAGTTCACCTAGAGCTCCAAGAAAGCCCAGGGAATGAGTTATCTGCAGGAAGTTCACCATGATAATTTTCACATTCATTTTCCTAACAGGTAAGGAGTTCCTCTCCTCACTCCAGGAACTCTTAAAAGTTTCTGCCTAAGAAATTTTTGGAATTTCATTTCATTATTTCATGTCTTCACCTCTGAGCTTTCCTCATCCAATCCTAACTCAAGTGAGTGAGAAGCTGAATGTGATGTGATGCAGTGCTGTTGGGTTTTTAATTATCTGGTAAAGAATTCTTCTGGGTTGCTTGTGAACTTTCAAAAATGGAGGATTACAAGGCTTTCTTTTTGCAAAGACCCAAATAAATAATACCCAGTGATGAACCTGGCAGGCCAAGTCCAGCTAGTTGCATTCCATCCTATTCTACCTGAATACCTGCAAGTTTTACTATGTTGTCAACAAGCATACCCTTTCCAAAACTGTTTGGGGCAAACACATAGGATAAGTCCAGCATTTCCCAGCATTACATGGTGGCTGCTTCCAGACTGTGGCTGCTTTTGAGTCCCTGTGTAAAATGGGCACCTGCCACCCATCTCTCTGACCTAGAGGTCTGATCACCAAAAATGAGAACCTTGCAGACCATGAGTAAGAAAGATTCCTTGTCTGTTGTTACTGGGGTCCTGTCCACATGAATCCCATATCTCTCTTCCTCTTTCCCCCTTCTGTGAAGCCTCCATCTAAGATTTTAAAGTAGGAAATAACTGGCATCTAGGGCCTCCCCCTCAGCTCTGTGCTCAGGTGAAGTAGTATTATAAGAGAACAGAGGACAAGAGCTACCCCAGCAGATGCTATTGACTGAAGGG